TGTTATATGTCTTCTGTATTTTTAAAATTGTTTCAGTGATACATATTAACTCCATTGTCAGAAAAGTAATAAGGTTATTAAATGAAATATCTGAAGCTCAATGACTGATTACTTTGGTGAATTTGAGAATGAAAGTGTCTCTCCAGTTTCCTGATGGCCACAAATGCCTGCTGTCGGGCCCAGGGGAGCCTGAGTCTGTCTCTTCCTCTGCTTTGTTTGTGGGTGGCTCCCATGGCAACAGGGCAAAGGGGAAAGAGGTGTGGCGGTTACTGCTACCGCATTTGAATCCAACTGCTCTCAGTGGTCAGTAAGGGTGATGGCTAGGGAGAGCAGGCTGGTTTTCCGACAGCCTGGAAATGAACCAATCTATACCAACTGTGGTTATTCTCTACTTGGACAAAAAAATCGATTTCAAAGTTTAAGTGGTCACTGTGAAGAATAATAATTATTTCAGTGTATTTGGTATGGACCAGAATGTTCTTAAAAACCGGTGAGCTGGAAAGAATTTTGTAGCATGGAATTAGACTGTAAGCCTCTTTCAGGCCAGGGCCAGGCCTGCAGTCTCTAGACCGTCTCCCCAGCACCCGACACATGGCTGTGAATCCTTCAGGAAAACCCGGGCAGCAAAATCTCAATTGAGAAAACCTAAATCAATGTATCTAAAGCCTAATTTATGTTTACCAAAGGATTCACTAAAAGGTTTCTTCGGATAGTGAGTTTCCTGCTGCACTTAAAATGTTTTATTGACAAATGTTTGTGTGTGTACAAGCCCACTTTGGTTATGAAAAAATGAGTTAAACATGTATTGCTCTTTTTGTTCTAAGGGCAGGTGTTTTTTGTTTTGTTTTAAAGTATTTTAAATTAGGCATAACATATAAACCATAAAGTGCACAACTGAGGCATACCTCTCAGTGAATTTTCTCATATTGATGCAGCTATTTAAGACCAGCCAGCGTGAGAAAGAGAGCGTTTTCTGAACTCCAGAAGGTTTTGTCATCTCCCCCCCAGTCTCTAGTCAATCTCCCCTCTCCCAAAGGAAACCACTAAATTGACTTCTATCACCAGCAGTAGTTTTGTCACACATGGAAATCTGATCTACAAGGGAAAGAGAAGTGTGGCTACTGTACTTTCCTTAAAATAGGTTGGAGGCCCTAGACCCCACCTACCCCTTTCTTCTGCTGGTCTCCACTTCTCTCTCCATTTCCCAGTTCAGAGTTTCTCTGATACTCTCCCCTCCCCTATTTGTTTGTTTATTTGTATTGTGGTAAAAAATACATATCATATAAAATTTGCCACCATAACCATTTTTAAGTGTCCCATTTGGTGACACCAATTACATTCACAATGTACAACCATTACCACTGTCTACTCCCAAGCTTTTTCATCACCCCAGACAGAAACTCTGTACCCATTGAATAGCAACTCCCCATTCTTCCCTCCCTGCAGACCCTGGTAAACTCTAATCTACTTTCTGTCTCTATGTATTTGTCTATGCTTAATAGTGGAATCATACAGTCTTTGTCCTTTTGTGTTCAGCTTATTTCACTTAGCATGATGTTTTCAACGTTAATCCATGCTGTAGAATGTATCAGAACTCCATTCCTTTTTATAGCTGAATAATATTCTATTAAAGTACCTAGTACAAGGCCTGGCATATAGTGAGCACTCAAAATAAATTAGCAGCTTTTATTATAATACTTTTAGAAGATGAATGCTTTTTCAAGATTGAGCACAATCTCAGGCTGTTTTAGTACACTATAATTTCACATCCTTGCACTGGAGTGCAGTCATCTGAGAGTCAATCAATCAACACTTATAGAACATCTACTACGTGGTAGGCATTGTTCTGACACTACGTATATAAGAGACATTAGGGATTATCGAATTCAACCCATCGCTTTACCAGGAAAAATATTTAGGCACAGTGAGGGTTAAGTGAGGTGTTCATGGTCATTCTACCACTAACAAAGTTGGTGGTAACAAAGTTGGGAGCTTTTTCTACCATCTACATGAAGCAGCTTTCAATACATGCATGTGGACTTGACTGGACAATCTTCAGGAGGCTAAATGTGCCCATTCTCCTCTGCTGTGGTGTGAAATATGTCCACAAATCTGACACTCCCTGCCAAAAGTGGGATTCTCCTCCCCTTGAGCATGGGCTGGAACTAGTGACTAGTTTCTAATGAATAGAAAACAGGTGGAAGTGACAGTCCATGACTTTAGAGACAAGGTCATAAGGCGTTGTAGCTCCCTGCTTGCTCTCTCTCCGCAGATGACTTGCTCGGGTGGAAGTTAACTGCCATGTGTGAGGACACTTAAGCAGCCTATGGAGATGCCCACATGGCAAGTAACTGAGTCCTCCAGCCAAGAGCTGTGTGAGTGAAGTGGCTCCTTCAACCCCATTCAAGTCTTCAGATGACCACAGCCCTACTCAACTGCTTGATTACAACTTCATGAAAGATCCAGAACCAGAACCACCCCACTAAACCACTCCCAGAGTCTTGACCCTCACATAATGTGTGAAATAATAAATGTTTGTTGTTTTAATATGCTAAGTTTTGGGGTGATTTGTTACAGAGCAGTAGAGAACTGATACACTCTTATTATCACTTTCTTTTCAGTCCTACCCTTCATTGACTTCCCTCCAATACCTTATTTAACAGTTTATATTCTTAGGGTAATGATGGACACACTTTTTAAAAAAAACTCTGATGTTTTTACTACATTTATTCATTTAATAGCCTTACTGAGATATAATTTATGTTTCATAAAATTGGTTGACACATTTTTTTTTTTCCTTTTTGTCTTTTTTCGTGACCGGCAACGGATCGCAACCCTCAGTGTCGCGCCCGTACCGAACCAGGACCGGCAACGGGATCGCAACCCTCGGTGTTGCGCCCGCACCTCGCTCAGCCAGTGAGCGGCCGGTCTGTATGTGGGATCCGAACCCTCGGCGGGAGCGCCGCTGCGCTCCCAAGCAGCGCACTGTAGCAGTGTGCCACCGGGCTGGCCCGACACATTTTTAAAGTTGTGATAAAAACCGCACAACATAAAATTACCACTTTAACCATTCTAAAGTGTACAGTTCTGAGGCATTAAGTGCATTCACGATGTTGTACAACCATCACCATTGTCTAGTTCCAGAACTTTTTATCACCCCAAATGGACACCCCATACCCATGGCTGACACAGTTTAAAAGATTGATTTCATTTTGTTTCTCAAATTTGTAACAATCATGTAGTAACAACAGCAACGAAAAACTAGTTCACAATTAAATAAAATCTTTAAAGGTAAACAAATTTGGAAAGAAATAACATTAATACTTCTAATGACAACATATGAATCTTTTCACATTCTTATACAGAAAAAATCTAATGAGATATATTTTATTGTGGATAAAACAAAATATCAAATAATAGTTTTACAAAAAATTAGTCTTTAAAACTCTTTTTTAAATCCATTGAGTACAGAACATCCCCAATGTACATGGCAATCAAGGAACCAGAACTGGGGACAGCTGTTAGGAGTACAACAGGGAGAACGAGTAGGTGTCATGTAGTGATTGGCCTCCAGTCTTATAATATTAATGGCTACCTACAGCCCTGGGATTAGAAGGATGCAGAAGAACATCTAGGCTCAGTTGCTTCACACTATCTGCCGCAGGCTTCTGAATGAGAGGTGATGGCATTTTGTCCAGCCAACTCATGAGTTGGGTAAAGGTTAGTAATAGTTGTCATTAGTTTTAGCACCATTTCCTTCTAATAGTTTTATTTTAATGCAAACTCAGGTTAGTAGTGACCAGAAAATATTGCTACTGAATTTGAAGGATGACTATATAAGGACCTATATTATTTGGTTTGAGTTTTCAGTGTCCTATGAAGAATAGAAATGAGGCAAGAGAGTAGCTCTGGGAGGCATAGTTCCCTTTTTCCCCCTGGAGAGGACTTTACAACCTTGCTATAGAGTGTCCTATGACTCCCCAGATATGCGGATTAAGCTCCTACCCCAGGAGTGGCAGCTTGAAAACAGAAAAGCAATGGTTGGAAGACATTTCTATTAAGCCTGTATTCAGCTTGTTGGACTAGCATATTCTTGGTGTGAGGCCTTCTCATTTTCTCATCTGTCCATGCACTCATTTTTTAAAAAAACGTACTGAGTACCTTCCATGTGCCAGGCACCATTCCAGGCATTGGTGATAAGCATTTGCACATCGTCCTCTGAGTTTGACACTCTTTGGAGCTAATCTGGACTGATGCACATTAGTAGAACATTAGTGGGACTGAGAAAGGGCTGCAGGTCCAACCGTGCATCCTTTCCCCCCGACTTCAGAACCCCAATACAAGCAACAGAACAGAATAAGAGAAATGTGGATGTGCCCTCCTTTGCTTTACCAAGGCCCAGTATTGTAGATGCTGGCCATTTCCTTTTTCAAACTACCTACTTCCATCATCATGGGACAAAATCATTCTTTCCTGGAGTTTCTCCTTACTGCTCAGGAATAGCAGTGCAACTTTAATATATTATGAGATAAAGCCACAATCATGATGATAAACTCCACGCAACTTATGTGAAGTCTCAATGAACAGTTGGCACAGACCCAAGCATCTCCCACCCAGCCTGGCTCACCGAATGACTTGACTACCTTCTCTGAGCAGGGTTCTGACTTCAGCTAAATTAGGGGCAAAAGGAAGGCAGGGCTCAGCACTGTTCCAAAAATCAGGGTTCTCACAGTGGAGAAGTGAAGTGGCCTTACCAGGCACAGGACATTGGCATCAAAGGAAAGGTAGGAAGCAAGTCACAAGGGAGTCGAGGGTGGCAGGAAGTCTAGACAGAATGAGCTATGGCTGGGGGAAGAAGTAGGATAAAACACATTGCTTTATTGTAAAAACCAAAACCAAGGTGTAGGCATATTGCCATGTTAACTTTAACAATGAAACAAGCCTTATGCTCCGTGGTGAGATGAGTGAGTGACGAGTGGACCGGGGGTGGGGGTGGGGGGGGGTGAGGCATTTACATGGGATGCCTGAACATGATCTCTCACCGACAGGGAGAACCTCTGGCAAGCAGAACCATTAACAATTGTCTGCTTTCTTCATTTGTTGCAAGAAATATGAGTCACCCCAATAAAACCAGCCATTGGCGTAGGGAAATCTAATGTCTGACTTGTGACACAAAAAGAGCCAGCTGCTCCAGCCTGCCAGACTCAGTGAGAACTTCCTATCTCAAATCAGGTTCCCAGCTGTCCTGCAGCTTAGACAAGAGGCTGAGCCCAGCCACCTCTGCCTGTAGACACAACAGGAGTGTTCCAGATTTTATCAGCTGCTTAAATGCACTAGGAGTTGAAATTAGACACCTCAGTGTGGTTTAGGAGCAAGAGAAGGGCCAGCTTGGAAGAACAAATGAGAGGAGAGTAAAGAGCTGAGGTCCAATGTGCAACAGAAAGGTTTTCTGGCCTTCCTGAAGTCCTACATCCAAGGGCCCCAGACCCCAGTGCCCTTGGGATCACAGCGGGGGTCCTGTGCCGGGAAGCGCACGGGCACTGAGTGTTTATGGTAGAACTGCAGGCGAGACAGGAGCTTCCTGACGATCTGGGGATATTTTCTGGACAGGTCATGTCTTTCTTCTGGGTCCTGATCAATATCAAAGAGCCAGAGGGTCTTGGTTGGTGGGTCTGATGAAGGTATCTCAGAAACATTGTATTGAGACGGTGGAGGAAACCAGTAGCCACAGCCTAGTGAAGAAACAAAACATTGTGTCGGGGGAGCAGCATTGTAGGCAGGTTCTAAATTCAGGGAGGGAATCTGGCGACAAGGCTGTGCTGGGTTGTAGGTGTGGACACAAAAAAAGATGCTGTCTCTAGATGTGTCTCAGACCCAACTTCTGGTGCTTTCATGAGACACGTCTCACTGCTTCACAACCAGAGACATCCAGGCACGTGTGTGCATGTATGTGTGAGGGGGGATTTTTAGTCATCACAATGACTGGGGGGTGTAAATGGTCCTGGAATTTAGTGGGCATGGGCTAATGATGCTAAAATCTCTTGAAGTACATGGGACATTCCCAAATAATGACTTACCTTGCTGCAGATGCCAAGAACAGCCCCATTGTAAGCACTGTTGTAATTGCATCATAGCGTTAACAATCACACCACATATGAGGGTAGTTCAAAAAAGTTTGTGGAAAAATGGAATTAAAAGATAATACAAATCTTTCCATAAACTTTTTGAAGACCCTTCATATTTAAAAAGTATTGAAAAGATGTCATTTTTAGAAACTATGAGCAGGGGACTCAACCTCCTTTCTCAGCTACACCATTGGCTAAGAGGGCAGCACTCAGAGGTTCTCTTTGCTAATTAGATATGCTGTGCTTGAGAGCAACACATTTCTGAAATCCATATTTTCCATGAAGCATTAGAATGGCATTTCTTCCTTTCTTCCCTATTACAGTAAATTCTCAAAAAAAAAAAAAAAATTGGGGGGGCGTCAGGACCAATAGATTAAACAATTCCTCCTCATTATTTCTTCATTCAGCAGCCCCAGAGATATGTTTTGCAAAAGGCAGTTGTTACTTTGGTAAGCTTTTCCCTGATGTTCTGCTGGGGAAGGAAAGTTTGCTAAGCTAAGCATTCTACCTGGGTAACCCGTGAGGAGTTTCCAATTTCCATATCTAATTGCAGCATGGATAGATGTGTTAAAGGTCGAATATTCTGGAAGAGAAGAATCATCCTTTGCTGGACCCGTGCTGTTCCCAGAACCTGGGAAGAAACAGTTTGGAAGAATTAGATTGCTGTTATTGGAACATGTCGTTATAAATCAGCATTTTATGTCCTTCTTGCAGAACAGTAGCTTTTATTCAACACTGGAGTGCAAATGTGTATCCTGCCACAGAAATGGATCTTTTATTTAATGTAAACAGAAAGCTATAGTTACATTCAATGTCAGTCATAAACCACCACAAATATAAAGGAAATCCCAGAGAGATTAGAACACTAATTCATCCTTAAAATGAGTATGTTCTGCCAATGTACAGCTGGCCATATGCAGAACAGTGTTCTATTACAGCAAAGTGAGTTGGGGTTTTTTTTGTTTTTTTGGTTTTTTTTCCCCTGCTAAATGTTTGAATTTAATACATTTTCTGTGTATACTTATGTAGACGGTATAATAAATTATAAAATGTGCATTTTAATGGAGTCTATCTCAAGCTATGAGAGTTCAAGCATGCCATCATAAACACTACATTTATTTTTTAACCACACTTACGAAATCCAAAAATAAGGGAGCAATGCTCAGTTAACCATTCAGACAGGATAACTATGAGTAAAAGAATAAATTTGGTGTACAAATTACGGGTTGGTATAATGAATTACACTCATTTATCATTTTGAGGTCTTATATTAATTGATCATCAGGTTTTTGAGAGGAGCAATTACAAATACCTACCCCCTCTTGAGTTTGGAACCAATTAAGAGGTAGGGGCCAGACAGATGCAGAGAAAAATATTGCTTATGTTACTGATGAAATTGATTGGAAAGAACTCAACTGTGTGTTGACGAACTGTGGGTTCAGATCTGTGACAGAGAGTCCTTGCTAATAACTGACGCTTGTCTTAGAAAGACTTAGCCATCATCACTGATCTTGCTGGACACCTTCCAGGCCCCCTCAAGGTGCACAACACAGGTGAGAGCAGACCAGAGTGCTTGCACGTATCCAGGACACAGGCTAACTCTGAGGTTACACAGACAAAAGGGTCTGGGCTGAGGATGCTCAGTGCTCCTTCTCCTGCCTGTGGGAAGGACTGAATAGGTGCAGCAAGAGTTCTAATCTAGTTGGAGACCCCAGTGGATTCATGAGGGCAAGGCATGCAGGTCCCCCACCTCACTCCTACTCTTGCATATTTAAAAGCCTCAATTTAGGGCCTAGCTGAATACTAGTTAGTCTGTTTTAAGTCCACATTTATCTGTTAACTTTTAAATATGGTCACGACAATCATTCTTGGGAGCACGTCAAAAGGTTGCTAAACTGCCAGCTCAATAACTAATTGCTATAGCATGTGATATGTCTGTAAAATTGCACACTCCATCAGGGTGGTTAACCCATCTGTCTGCCTTCCTTCTATAAAAGACTCTAGCAGTGCCATCCTCCTGGCCAAAGCAGGACTACTGAGATCCTCAGTGTTTTAATGCAGCAAGTGCTGTCGGTGGCAGAAAATGCGAGAAGTCCTAGTCTTTATTGGTCTTTTGGAAATGACCCTGTAGAGACATACTGGAGACTGATCCAGTAAACACTGGTGCTTTCAGAACTTCAGTCCTAACAATCACACACCAACAAATCCTTAGCACCCAAGATGAAAATCTTTTTGACTTTTTGTTTCTTTGTTTGCTTGTGGATATTGTGGCTCCAACACAAACAGATGCTTCTAGTGATTGAGGTGCAGTGAGGATGTCTATCAGAGGAAGTGGGTTCTTCATACACAGACTATGGTAAAATTGTGAACCCTCATGATTCACTCGTCACCAGTTTGTATGAAGGCCACGTTTTGATACCAAAGAATGTTAAATAAAACAAGCATGCTTTGTGAACATAAACAAAAAAAGGAAATTTAGCTATCTCAGCTATACTTATATTTATACACATTTTTTCTTAAAACAAACAGGAACATAAAGTATCCAAACAATAAATAAGTCTAAGACTAAACGATGAAAGATACTATTATCTCAATTTTATTTTTTTCATTTTGAGAAACTAAACAAAGAAAAAATTACAAAGAATTAACCAACACCCTGTGAGCCATCACCCAGAATAAACAGATGTTAACACTTTGCCATATTTGCTTTTTGGTTTTTAGATAAAAGAAACTGGACAATAAAGATGAAGTTTAAGTCTCCTTTGTCCCCAGTCTCAATGCCAGTCCCCTCTCTCATCCACTCCTCCAGGGGTGGCCACTGTCATGACTCCAGCGCACCCTTCAGCCATTTCAAAAGACAGTGGGATATATGTGTGCAAGGAATAACAGATAGCATTGTTTTATACTTTAAGAGACATACATGTGTGTTACGTTGCATGTATTCTGCAACTTGCTTTATCATTCATTACTGTGTGTCTAGAGCTCTGTGATTATTCGTGCGGATATATTCCTTTTAACTGTTTAATATTTCACTATACAAAAATACCACACTTTATTTATCCATTACCCTGCTGATGGGCATTCAGGTTATTTTACTTATTTATCTAGCTGTGTGTCTGGAAATAGAACTGTCTAGTTGCAAGATGTGCACATTTCCAACTTTACAACATCTACTACTTGGCCCTCCTACTAGCAATGTCCGCATTGCTCCACCTCCTTTACCTGGTACTTTCAGACTTAAACATTTGTCTATTTAAAATTTTAGAGAGGAACTTAATCTTTTTTTTTTTTTTTCATTTAATTAGCAAGAACTATTTTTTTCTTTGTCAATCCAGGAGTTGCTTTAAAAAACATTTTAAAAAATAATACCCATAGAGAAAATTACACCACTCACAAGTATGCAGCCTGATGAACAGTGAACTCTCCTCTGTAAACACCAGCCCAATCAAGAGACAGAACATTCCTAGGACTTCAGAAACTGACATCCAGTTACTCCCTCCTCTTCCCAAGGCAACTGCTATCCCAACTCTGAACAGCAGAGACTTATTTTTGCCTGCTTTTGAGCTCAGTGTGAATGAAAACCATATAGTATGTTACTCTTTTTTCTGGCTCCTTTTGATCAACATAATGTTTGTGAGACTCACCTACGTTGCTGGGATTCAGCCTGTTTCCAGTACTTGGTTCATTTTCATTTCTGTATAGTATTCCATTGTATGAAAATTCTACAACCTCTTATGTTTAGATTTAAAACTCACCTGGAATTGATTTTTGTCTATGAAGTGAGGTAGAAATCATGATTCATTTTTTTAAATGACTTTCAAATGACCAAACGCCATTATTGAAAAGACTGTCATTTTCTCACTCATCTGCAGTGATACCTTTGTCAAAAACCACATTTTCATATAGGATGAGTCTTCTCTCATACAGCACTGTCCAATAGAACTTTCTCCAGTAATGAAAATGTTCTATATCTGTACTGTCCAATGCTGCAGTCACTAGCCACATGTGGCTATTAAACATATGAAATGTGGCTGGTGCAACTGAGGAACTGCATTTTTTATTTAAGTTAATTTTAATTAATTTAAATTACCACATGTGCCTAGTGGCTACTGCATTGGACAGCACAGCTCTGGAGATTCTATTCCACCCCCTGGTCTATCTGTCTATCCTTGTGCTAATACCACACTGTCTTAATTATCATAGATTCATAATAGTTTTTCTATTTGATGGCATATGTTCCCCAACTTTGTTGTTCTTAAAGATTGATCTCATCATTCTTAGCCTGTAAATTTTAGGATCAGCTTGTTAACAGTTTCACAAAATACCTGCTGGGACATTGTTTAGAACGGTACTGACTATGAATCAGTTTGGGGGGTCCTGGTGTCTTAAAATACTGAGTCTTACAGTTAGAGTATAAGTGAATTCCAACATTTATTTAGGGTTTTAAAATGTTCTCTTAATAATGTTTTATGACTTTTTAAGAGTTTGTAGTTCTTTTTTTTATTACTATATTTATCATTTTTCAATGTAACACTTTTTTGTGGCCCTTTACCAATTTCTCACTAAGCCCCCCCCCCCCCCCCCCCCCCCCCGCCGAACTGGTGGCCTCAGTTCCATTCTCTCTTTTTGAAAGTTCAACGAATTATTGTGATTGTTATATCATTCTTCCTTTTTGTTTATTTATTTATTTATTTTTACCTCCCACTTATGAGGACATACAGTATTTCTCTTTCTCTGCCTGACTTATTTCACTTAACATAATCATCTCTACATTCATCCATGTTGCTGCAAATGGCAGAATTTCACTCACTTTTATGGTGAGTAGTATTGTATTGTGTATATATACCACAGTTTCCTTATCCAGTTGTCTGCTGATAGACATTTAGGTTGGTTCCAACTCTTAGCTGTTGTAAGCAGAGCTGCAATAAACATGGGAGTGCAGGAATCCCTTCAACATGATGATTTCCATTCCTTTAGGTATATACCCAGCAGTGGGATTGCTGGATTTTTTTTTTCCTTTTTGTCTTTTTTCGTGACCGGTAATGGGATTGCAACCCTCAGTGTCATGCCCGTAGTGCGACAGGCAACGGGATTGCAACCCTTGGTGTCACGCCCGCACCTCGCTCAACCAGTGAGCGGACCGGTCTCTACATGGGATCTGAACCCTCGGCAGGAGCACCGCCGCACTCCCAAGCGCCGCCGCACTCTACCGAGTGCACCACCAGGCCAGCCGGAGATTGCTGGATTTTGTGGCAGTTCTATCTGTAGTTGTTTGAGGAACGTCCATGCTGTTTTCCATAGTGGCCGCACTATTTACAGTATCATCAGCAGTGTAGGAGGGTTCCCCTTTCTTTACATCCTGACTTTGTTATGTGGTGAGAGATACAGGTCTAGTTTCATTCTTCTACATATGGATGTCCACTTTTCCCAGCACCACTTATTGAAGAGGCAGTCTTTTCCCCAGTGTGTGCTCCTGTTGCCCTTGTCAAAGATCAGTTGGCTGTAAGTATGGTTGACTTCTGTGTTCTCAATTCTGTTCTATTGGTCTGAGTGTCTGTTTTAATGTCAGTACCATGCTGTTTTGGTTACTATAGCTTTGAGGGAGTGTAATGCCTCCAGCTTTATTAATTT